TTTAGCAAACAAAGGTGGACGATGTAAGTCATCTAGGCTATAATCAATTGCAAAATTAATCTAAATGGACGACTTCGTCCAGACGATCTCCGTGGATGTCGTCTGCATCAATGTTTAATAATTTTTATTTTCTCTAAACCTATAAAGATTTTTTTTAACATTTTTTTGTTAATTCACGTATATTAGTTAATATTAGAGCTATTGATAGAAATTTATAACTTCATTGGTGATATTTATGAGATTGCCAACATTCATGTTAATTAAAGCTTCTAGCTGATTCGAATAGACTTCCACAGAAGTCTTCTACACTAGTTTAACTGTAAATAATTAGATAAATCTAACTCTATTAAAAGCTCTAATTCTAGAGCAGTAAGACAGTCCACATAGGATTAGAAAATCAGCCAATAAAAAGATTGTTTCTCGCCATGTCACTATTGTTTTGTCGAGTGAAGCTCAAAGCTGATATGTTATTGGATTGTCATTCTTTTACTTATGGCCCATAGATAGCAAGCCCACTCTTTGCCTAACCCTAACTTCGTTAAAAACGTCCAAATATATTCATCTTCCCAACTTTTCACTTGGTCTTCAACAAGTCAGTTTCTCTGTTACTCCGAGCTATTCTTCATCAATCAATATGCTCTTTAATGCCTTATTTACTGTTTCATTCTACCTTCCCTCTTTCTCCTTATCTAGAAACTCATTCGTTGAGATTTGCTTCCAAGCAAACTCCAAAACCTCTTTCATCGTTGGAATGCCAGAATTTTATACAACAAGGAAGACATCCCGAAGGTCTGTCACGAGTTTGATCTGACGAAACAGAGGTTTATCAAAACCCGTTAGAAGCTCTAATTAATATGCCTAAGATGCAACCCTCAAGGTTTTCCATTGACTTAAACAACTCTTTTTGGGTTTCCTGTTGTACGTTGATTGTCAATATTGTTTTGACAATCTATTCATTAACTGGATTTATTTTATTTGTTGGTAGCTTCGTGGCGGCTCCAGAATTTGATTTGTAAGCTCCACTAAGTTTAAGGATTGATTCAGCTATTGTTGATCACATTAAGGTAAGTACACATATCCTCAGATCTGTGGACGAAAAAGTACATACTCTAATATTAACCACATCTCTTGATATGATTCTGTTATTCAAGGTTTATCGAACCGAAACTGCTTAAGCTGGTATGAGCTCCTCCTGAAGCATGGCTCCACCTACAGCCTCAGAAACTTCTTGACAAAAAAGAACAAGAACATAAGTCAGCAATAACCAATTCACTTTTTCTCCAGACACACCTCGATATTGTGGAGACAAAGGAGTACAAGTAAGTTTTCGATTGATCTTCTTTGTCTCTTCTACGAAATTAGGAACAAATTTAAGTAAGTTTTTTTATTTACATGCTAGGCAATTCGTTTGGTCAAATATTTCTGTTGTTTTTCTTAGATTTCTGTTATTATCATCTCCAATTTGAGTGTCGAAAGACATGACCATTTTAGTTCGATTGAACGTTTTGTTTCGATTTTGTTTCTCAGGTTAAAACAATGGATAGAAAATTATTGAGGGAACTCAAAGGAGACATGACTGAGAATCAAGGTACTTACCAGAGAAGATGGTATGTAAACTAAATATGATCTTTATAATTTTACGTCCTTGAATATAATTTAGGTTAGTTTAAATTTTTTTCTTACGGTTTTGGTTGTCAGGCTAGAACGCTGGATGGGAGAGCGAATGGATCCATATGGAAATCAAAATACATAGACTAGACGCCAAGAACTCAGGTGAACAGTAATAAACAGAGATGCGAGAGGCGTTACTAACAACTTCACAAACAGAAACCAAGGAGATCAGAGAAAGACGCAGAGATCAAATGGAAAAAACAGCAAAGAAGGCAGGTACATAAAAAGCTACAGTAGTGAATAATATGTGGTTCATGGTAAAACCATAACAAACGGCCACCTGTGGAAATAGATTAAAGAAATAAAATTAAGAGAAGGGAAAACACTCACTGATGTTGATACGTAGATTAGGTTGGCTGTGGGCATATTATTTCACAACATCTGGTCCTTGATGTTATTCTATCATGTGGGTTTCATATTATTACATATAGGTTCTTATGTAACTTTTTGATAAGCCTTTGACATTTGTTCCAAAGCAGGATCTCATAACTTGAAACGGAATTTTCAAGAGCCATGGAAAAGACAACAAAATGGGACGTTATAAAGACATAGATCACGATCTACATCGTCAAAGGGAGAAGAGCAGGAACATAGATGTGAAGAAGAGCAGAGATAGAGAAGCTGATTGCTTCATGACTTTTCTACTTTGGCTTATTTAAACTAATATTAAGGAGACTTCTCAAGAATCACTCTCAACAAAATATAGTTGTAAGCAATAAAAGCTTTTGTATTTCTTGCAGTGTTTGGTACATCCACCACATCTTGGTTTATATTAACCACTGAGAATTATTTTTCTTTTATAACATGAAACCT